CACACACACACACACACACACACACACACACACACGCACACACACACGCAAAGCACTTTATCCCCTTATCAGAAAAGGAAGGCTTCGCTCTTTGCTCAAACAGTCTCATGTAGCAACTTCCGTTGTGAGCAGCTTGTGTTAGGCCTACGAGGGGGATTTTCACAGTGCTGATGTCCCCAGAGACAGGCTGATGCATCTGCCTCAGGGACCAGACGGTCCCCCAGCTGTGGCCGTAGAGGATGATAAAAGCATGCCACAACTTTTCTTGACGTCCCCCTGAAAGCCTAAATAATGTTTCCGCAAAAAAAAACGAAAAAAAAAAAAAACTAAAAGCGCTGCTGTGTTTATGATAGACACTTTAGCTCACACTTATATCCAGAGATACAGTTTGTCATTATCATGAAGTGAGCGCACAGAGTTGTAAAACTTTACGCATTTATTCATAAGGACGTACGGGAGCGTTATGTAAATGAGTTTAAAGCAGTGTAATGTCTGAGTGTGGCAAGCATCGACTCATTTAGGCCCAGACGAGACAGCCACAATCACCAGCCAAGGGTAAAACCCACATCCTTCAGGGTCAGCCTCAAAACAAGAACTTTGATTTGCCCCACTGTAAATACCCAATGGTGTGATTGGTGGCCTTGGGAAGCACAGAGCCAAATGCACTGCTGCAGAAAAGTGTTTTGGGCTGTGCTCATAATAGAACGAAAAGGGAAGTAAACGAAAAGGGTGGCAGAAAGAAGCAGGGTGGGAACGTGACGGGGGGGGGGGTTCAGGTCCACTAGAGAGGAGGAAGAGGAAGACAGGTGTACAAGGTTTTGCTCAACACATGTTGAAACGTCCCCAGTGTCTGTTGAGGGCAAACGGAAGTTTGCTCGCAGGCAAGTAGGCCCCACTGCAACATGTGTTCAACTGTCACCCCGCTACACTGTCGAGTTTCAGAAGTTAGATAAGGATGCAGCTTGTTTTCATATCTTTTCAAGACTTTAGTTTCAGTGCGCTAGCACAAAAAACAAGGGCTTCCCTGACCTAAAACTTGTGGTATTATTAAAATGATTCATTAATGCAACAAAAAAAGCTCACCCAGCTGCCATTTTGTGTACTTTGCGCTGGACTCGGGAGTGCTCCTTACACTACCCAAACATTGTTTTTTTATGCAATTCAATACCATGCATACATAGACAGTCCAGACATAGTTTTCACTGTGATACATGCACTCCACATTAATTCTTGTCTGTTATCAGGGGCCTATCAAGTCCATTTATACGACGAAAACAAATATTTACACTTCAAATATATTCAGTGCAGAGCTGGGTCACAGCCAAAGCACGTATTGGCCTTTGCTGTTCAGATAGAGTTTCACTTTGTCCCTGAAAAAGAACCCAGCCCTTAACTAAAAAGGGCTTGTGTTTAATGTGTCTCCCTTTGGACGGCAACATATGTTTCTTTCTTTTAAAGGAGGCAGAGACAGACAGACAGACAGAAAACGAGAGGAGAAGTAGAGAAAAGTGCGAGGGTGAAGGAAGGAAACAGGTCGCACTGGGTGATCGTTCAGCTGTGGCATCGTGTTAAAGTCCTGGCAGTCACCTCGCTGAGCAAACACTGCCTCCCTGTTGAGCTGATACGGGTTTTGTGGAGGGAAGGCTGGGCAACGCTCGGTGGAGATTGTTCGTGCGGTCTGGTCTTCGAAACGCCCACGTGCAGTGTGAGGAAGAACATAACTTTACACTTTTCGCACGTTTTACACCTGAACTTACCTCAAAATGCTTCAAAGCACAGACACAAAAGAGCAAAGCAATGCTGCAGTGAAGATAAAACACTATCAGGAAATAAAAGCACACACACACACATACACACGCGAAACAAAGCAGGGCTGGGAACGGCACACCCATCTCTTCAAAACACAGCCATCGCCTTTCACTACATTGTTAATACCAGACATTTTATATCAAGCATTTTATTTGTTCTTCATAGACTTCCATAATGCTTTCAGATGATGCGACCACTACTCTGAGAGGAGGCTAGTAAATCTACAACCTTTAGCATCCATTTTCAGCTCTGGATGCATATTGAGCGCTGCTGTTTAGGCCTCATGTGTGCATTGCCTCCCATCTCCCAGCTCTATCTTGTGGTTATGATATCATAGAGAGAAAAACAAAGGCATTCTTTCCTAAGTGCACACTAACACATTAAATATTCATCTGACCACAGAAACCCCTCTGAAATGGGGCTGGTGTGGAGCACCGGCACCCCTCTGGCCCTCCAAGCCCTGCAGAGTAGAAGTCAAATGTTGGCGGTTGGACTTGACACAAAGCAGCTATAGCCGGGGTCAGCTGGCCAAAGAGACTCTTATGCGGATCATTTAGACAGCTATTAAAACTTTTCTACAGGGAGCAACAGTTTTCTTTTTAAGACACTTGCCATGTGCAGAAATGGCAAAATTCCTGCTTCAAGCTACACGGGCAGTCCGAAGCTCATGCCCTACCACCTCTGATCACAATTTCCCAGTAAGGCTTACAGGCTCACACAGACAAAAGGGACGAGGAGTAAAACTGAGAGGAGGTGCCGAAAGCTTCACCTCCCAGTCGACGTGCAATGTTTAGAGCAACTGCAAGGCCAGGGTTAATGAGCGCCAGGTCTTGTTCTAATGATGCCACCGCTCGCTCACTCCTTCCAAACATCGCCCTCTCACAAGCCACTAAACCCCCTGCTGGAAGCTGCGAACAGTGTGTCGCTAAAGCATCCCTGCCAACTGGAACTGGGCCACGGGATCCACAGCTCAAGTGTGTTCATGTGCATGTTTGTGGGTAACTGAATGATCACTTTCATCCCTAAAGAGTCAGCCAATTCATCTCAGACCACCAGTGGCCACAGAAAAACTGACCAATTATCATTTTTTTCCCCCGTGCTGCCTGTCTTTTTTTCCAACCAGAGAGCAGTGGGATGTATCATTTCCCCGACCTCAGCCGTTTGAGGTGGTGTAAATCTCTTAATAACTACACAAGGACACATATAGGGGCTATATTTGGAGGACTGCTTCCCCTGGCCGCCCCTGCTATGGCTTGGAACAGACAGTAGCCACAGTGTCTATGTGGGTTATGGAGCCTGTACCAGGCGCTGTGTGTGTGTGTGTGTGTGTGTGTGTGTGTGTG